GCCCGATGCTGAACCAAACTTTTCAAGATGACTATAGCTGAGGTGGCTCCCAGTACCACCCTGGCTACAGGTGTGGGCTGCCAGTAACACCGTGGCTGCAGGTGTGGGCTGCCAGAACCACCCTGGCTGCAGGTGTGGGCCCCCAGTACCACCCAGGCTGCAGGTGTGGGCTGCCAGAACCACCCTGGCTGCCGGTGTGGGCTCCCAGTACCACCCTAGCTGTAGGTGTGTGCTCTCAGTACCACCCTAGCTGCAGGTGTGGGCTCCCAGTACCACCCTAGCTGTAGGTGTGTGCTCCCAGTACCACCCTAGCTGCAGGTGTGGGCTCCCAGTACCACCCTAGCTGCAGGTGTGGGCTCAACTTCCACTATGAAACACACCCTCCACACCCCACCTCAGGTTAAATCAAACACTAAAAATGAACAATAATTGCTTGTCATCCCTCTGGCTAATTTGCTCAATATTTTAAGGAATCAATTGCGACATTAACTATCTTTTTATCGTACTTCCATTATTACTCTTAATTTACCGCCATAGCCTTTAGCTACTCGCTAAAAGAAATACAAAATAGCAGTTCGTGGTCGACACAACAATGTGGTCTAGCTATCATGGACTTCTTGGCTTACGATATCTTGGGAGACGTGGCCGTGGAGCCGGTCAAGTCGGTACTTAGAATTTGGTTTAGGATGCCATAAAGGAGCTGAAGCGTCGGTTACTGGTGTGTTCTGGGAGGATGCTGAGGCGGGCGTTGACCTCAGGCGCTGACAACAACAGCAGCAACTTTACCTCGTCTCACCCAAGCTGCTGCAGTCATGGTGCTTCAGGCAGCAGCAGCAGCAGCAGCAGCAGCAGCAGCAGCAGCGGCAGCAGCAGCAGCAGCAGCAGCAGCAGCAGCAGCAGCAGCAGCAGCGGGTCATAGTAACAGCGGTGCTTCAACACCGATGTAAGAGTTATAAAACTCTATGATCTCTCAAGGATTCGAACCTGAGTTGCCATAGTACCAAACAACTGGCCACTCAGTACTACAATACCGCAGCCAGCGAGTGCCTAAAAGTGTTGGACATTCCTGTGACCCGCACGCTCAAGGGAAATATGATCACGACATATAAGATCGTAGTGGAATTGTTCTAAGTTGACAAATGATGAGATAGAGAACGACTTAGTTGAAGAAGAGCCTGAAAATTATACATAATATCAAATGTTAATTTGCTCCAATCATTTCTTTAGAATAATCTCACCACTGAACGACTTCAAGAGGCGGGCTTGTGAGCTTACGCTCGACATTTTATAAGACAGACAGACTAGTAAGTCAGTATATCTAGGTAAACACAAACATACCTTTAAGCACACAGCGTTCGTAATAATTAGCAAAGTTTCATTTATATTTGTCATTATTTTCATGCTGAAATTTTTCCCCGTACTTGTTGATGCCCCGCAAGTAATGCGTGTGGCTGAGTGTGGCTCAGGTGGCTGAGTGTGGTGGTGGCTGAGTGTGGCCCAGGTGGCTGAGTGTGGCCCAGGTGGCTGAGTGTGGCCCAGGTGGCTGAGTGTGGCCCAGGTGGCTGAGTGTGGCCCAGTTGACTGAGTGTGGCCCAGGTGACTGAGTGTGGCTCAGGTGGCTGAGTGTGGCTCAGGTGGCTGAGTGTGGCTCAGGTGGCTGAGTGTGGCCCAGGTGGCTGAGTGTGGCCCAGTTGACTGAGTGTGGCCCAGGTGGCTGAGTGTGGCCCAGGTGGCTAAGTGTGGCCCAGGTGGCTGAGTGTGGCCCAGGTGACTGAGTGTGGCTCAGATGGCTGAGTGTGGCCCAGGTGGCTGAGTGTGGCCCAGGTGGCTGAGTGTGGCCCAGGTGACTGAGTGTGGCTCAGGTGGCTGAGTGTGGCCCAGGTGGCTGAGTGTGGCCCAGGTGGCTGAGTGTGGCCCAGGTGGCTGAGTGTGGCCCAGGTAGCTGAGTGTGGCCCAGGTGGCTGAGTGTGGCCCAGGTGGCTGAGTGTGGCCCAGGTGGCTGAGTGTGGCCCAGGTGGCTGAGTGTGGCCCAGGTGACTGAGTGTGGCCCAGGTGGCTGAGTGTGGCCCAGGTGGCTGAGTGTGGCCCAGGTGGCTGAGTGTGGCCCAGGTGGCTGAGTGTGGCCCAGGTGACTGAGTGTGGCTCAGGTGGCTGAGTGTGGCTCAGGTGGCTGAGTGTGGCCCAGGTGGCTGAGTGTGGCTTAGGTGGCTGAGTGTATCCCAGCTGGCTGAGTGTGCCTCAGGTGGCTGAGTGTGGCCCAGGTGGCTGAGTGTGGCCCAGGTGGCTGAGTGTGCCTCAGGTGGCTGAGTGTGGCCCAGGTGGTTGAGTGTGGCCCAGGTGACTGAGTGTGGCTCAGGTGGCTGAGTGTGGCCCAGGTGGCTGAGTGTGGCCCAGGTGGCTGAGTGTGGCCCAGGTGGCTGAGTGTGGCCCAGGTGGCTGAGTGTGGCCCAGGTGGCTGAGTGTGGCCCAGGTGGCTGAGTGTGGCCCAGGTGGCTGAGTGTGGCCCAGGTGGCTGAGAGTAGCCCAGGTGGCTGAGTGTGGCCCAGGTGGCTGAGTGTAGCCCAGGTGGCTGAGTGTAGCCCAGGTGGCTGAGTGCGTCCAACTTCCCCCCAGTGTTGACATTCGGTGAAGAACGGTCACCATCTTGTCAACACTGCCTCCACGCAACACTCGTGTCTTAATGTGTGCTCCAAAATGGCCGAGGAGGACACATTTTCCTCCATTACCAGCGGGATGAATCGGACGCCGGTCAGCTGTTGAGGCATCAGCTGCTTGTGCCCCTGGTGGCGGGTTGAGGAACAATGCTGATGTCAACATTCCTTCAAAAAGGTAAGTTGCGTCAGGTGTCAGGAGAAGCACTACTCAGCATGTCCTTCGATTCCAAAACAACATAGCACTTCACACGTAAGTCTGTTATGATCATAGTGTATCTAAAACAGTGAAGATCTTTGGTCTAATACCTTCAAAAATCCATGTTTGTGATGAGTACTAAAGTAATGTTTAAGTAATAAAGTAATGTTTTCTACTGGGAAGTGAGTTGCAATACTTGGCTATAACTTGCACCAGCTTGGCTCTCTGCCTTGTCATGGGGAGGAAGTCTTCCTTGACTGAATCAGTGACTTACTAAATGTTCGTGTTATATTGACCGATCACCTGGATGTTGGGGATATATTGACCTATCACCTGGATGTTGGTGATATACTGACCCGTCACCTGGATGTTGGTGATATATTGACCCATCACCTGGATGTTGGTGATATATTGACCCATCACCTGGATGTTGGGGATATATTGACCCGTCACCTGGATGTTGGTGATATATTGACCCATCACCTGGATGCCACCTGTGAGTGAGCACATGTGCACAAGAGAAGTCAGGTCAGCGTCCAGGGCACATGTGCAGGACAAGTGCACAATATGTGTGTGCAAATTAATCACAGACTGCAAGTGTTCTGGAGAAGCGTTGTATGGAAGTGTGCAAAGTGTGCAGTCAGTCGTGGACGGTAAGAGAGGTAAGTGTGCAATGCTAATGAACAAGTGCTCATACTAAGTGTGATCTTCGAGTTGGTTGTCATCTGAACAACATCAGAGATTATGTTGCTTAAGATTCGCTACTTGGAACAAAAAGTTTCAAGTAGCACAGGCTACGGTGAGCCCGTTGTGGACTTACCTGGCACAGGAGCGGGGTTGTAACTTTTTCGACGTAACATCAGTGATTATGAAATTACGTCCAGTGTGTTTTCCTTTCCTGTTGGTTCTAGTTTTTGCAAGACTAAGTCAAATGTGTCACACATGTGTAAGAGGTGAGAGGGATTTGTGTGTGTTACTTCAGAGTGGTTCCCGGGGTTCTTTTAGATATAATTTTATTCCTCACATTCTTTTATTTTGGGTGTCATGAGCCAGAGAGCCGAGGAATGATGATGTTCGTGGCTGGGTTTGTGGGTTAAAAATAAACACCTAACCCACATAATTGTAAATGGTGGAATGCGACGATGTTTCGCCCAGTTCTGGGGCCAGATTCACAAAAACACTTACGCAAGGACTTACGAACCTGTACATCTTTTCTCAATCTTTGGCGGCTTTGTTTCCAATTATTAAACAGTTAATGAGCTCCGAAGCACCAGGAGGCTGTTTATAACAATAACAACAGTTGATTGGCAAGTTTTCATACTTGTAAACTGTTTTATAAATGTAACCAAAGCCGCCAATGATTGAGGAAAGATGTACACGTTCGTAAATGCTTGCGTAAGTGTTTCGTGAATCTGGCCCATGGACATTTGATAAGGGTTCACGACCAGCCAAAACGTAGGCACATGCTTTTCTTTTTCACATGGGAGCCGGTCGGCCGAGCGGACAGCACGCTGGACATGTGATCCTGTGGTCCTGGGTTCGATCCCAGGCGCCGGCGAGAAACAATGGGCAGAGTTTCTTTCACCCTATGCCCCTGTTACCTAGCAGTAAAATAGGTACCTGGGTGTTAGTCAGCTGTCACGGGCTGCTTCCTGGGGGTGGAGGCCTGGTCGAGGACCGGGGCGCGGGGACACTAAAAAGCCCCGAAATCACCTCAAGATAACGTGGACAGAATAATTTCTATAACATAAAAGGTGACAACTCGACAAATTTCTTTAAAACTCCGCCGAAGAAAATATTCAGATATTGCAGGTGTTTGGTTAATACGTGTCTCAGAGTTCAGGTGTTGGGTGGGGGGGGGGGATTATAGTCGTGCTGAAAGTGCCTGTTATCAGGGATTAGAATCAGTAATAATCTTCTCTCACTATTACCCTAAGAAGAGTGATGCGTGCTGACTGTGCACTCAATGAACTGTGCCTGAGCGGATGGACAGTAATTCAGTTCCCCTACACAACCTTTATCACGGGCTCACCATAGCCCGTGCTACATGGACACTTCCATGTAGCACGGGCTACTTCCACGTTCTGAGTAGCTAAATCTAAAACAACAACAACAATAACAACCTTTAATTGACTAATTGACTTGTTTAT